TAAAAAACAAAAGTTGATGATGGTTCCACGAATACGAAACGTCGCATGGAAAAATCGGTATCACCACGTTGACCGTCATCAAAAGTTGCTATGAAAAAGTATTCTCAGTTTTGCTGTATCTCTAATAATAACGGAGAAAAAAAAAATAGAAATTCCAAAAATTCACTTTTTTCGATATAACTCAAAAACTAAAAATAATTTTCAAAATTTTCGAAGGCTCTTGATATGAGCCTCCGAATGCGCAACTTTTTCCCCATTTAACCGATTTCGTATCTCTTACCGTTTTCGAGATCCCCATGCTGTTCAACCTTATCTTGGACAGACTGTATATCCATTCTTTTATGTTCATAATTCATCTGAGAATATTCCTTTTCAAACGTTATCATTGGGTTAGTACGGTCATCAAGAAAAAACTCTCATTGATCGTTATTATTTTTTCTTTCTAGGTTTGTGGTGGTTCCTTCACAACTAAATCGAGCTTGAAGAAACACATTAGAAAAATTCATGCTGATTATAGAAAAAATGAAGTTTATGAGTGCAATATATGTTCCGAGATTTTCTGTAACATTCAGTCAAGAATGAAACACGAGTCAGCGCATATTTCTTCAAAGTCATGTGAAATATGTAAGCTAACCTTCCCTAATCCAAGTGTGACACGTAGACATTTGAGAGCCCAACATTATAACACCGAAACTTGTCCATATTGTATGAGAAAATTCCACAAAAGTATGTTAGATTCCCATATCAAAACCGTACATCAAAAAAGGGATTGTCGAATTTGTAAATCATCCTTCAGAAATAGTATATCCTGGGCAAAACATAACTTGGAACACCAACACAAACATAGCAAACAATGTAATATCTGTGGATGCAAGTTGGATGGTATCGACATAGAGAAACATAACAAGTTACATCTAGAAGGAAAAATACATCATTGTACTATATGCAACAAACTGTTTGCCAACATTAAACGTCATCAAGCTAATGTCCACAAAAACACTGATTACATATATTGCAAAATGTGTCCAATGAAATTTGCTACTTCCACAGCTCGCATCAAACATTTTAGAAAAATACACGAGTATGTTGTGAAAGTATGTTCTATATGCAGACGCAAGTTCAGGTCTTTCGAAGAATTGCGAGAACACCTATCTGTCCATCACAATACATCTTACAAGTGTAGGATTTGTCACGAACCGATATTCTCTTTGATGAGTCTTCGAGATCACGAAGTCCAACACGCAGGAGTGTCAGTCAGTGCTCAATCTGGCAGCACACGTGCATTCAAGTGTCAAACGTGCGGGAGAAAGTTCAAATTCTTGGACTCTTTAGAGAATCACAAGTGTCGAAAAGGCATGTACTACTGTCATTTATGCGATGTCAGGTACTGCTCACTGCCAAATGTCAAACGTCACATGATAAATCATCACACCCCGAGGGTATATCTCGACGAACAAGAAGAAGAACAGTTGGAAAAGAACCGACTGAGACTGATCAACCTGTTGCGCGGCACGAAAAAGAAGTACCAGTGCAAGAAGTGTCATACATCGCTAGCTTCATTGGAAACATTCAAAAAACATTTTTGCAGATTCCAAGTCTATAAAGGTAGAGGGCGAGAGCCCCTCAAGAAAAGGAACACTAAGTTGGAATGTGAATATTGTGGATGGTTGAGTTATAATAAGAATAAGCTGAGGAACCACATTGTCAGGAAACACATCATGAAAAGGAGTTGTGACGATCAAACTGAGAATCATGATAAATCAGATTCAAATGAATCTGCTACTACCGAGATTATTTATATCAAAATTGAAAAATCAGATGATGACTGAGTCATTTCTCTGTCCTAGATATTGCACAAAAGTTTTCTATCTCTAATCATAAAAAAGATTCGAGCATCATGTCTATGAATAAATCTTTAATATCAAACGAGATCATTTTCAATTATTGTACACCACATCCATTTTTGGCAATGTTTCCTATAAGTACAGTACATTCGAACATAACTACGAACCTATTGTATAAGGTGTCCTAGTTTGTCTATGCGGAGGGAATCCGTCTGTACTCAGCATTTTTCTTAAAAATGTTTGATTCTTGGTTGTATCAGCTGTAGGTCCCGCTCTTCCTAACCCCACAAAAGTTTCGACATCTGAGGAGTTGGTTCCCAACTCCGAGGTAGCGATATACAATTTTTTTGTTTCTTTTTTACATTCGAACATATCCAACATCGCCCTCGGGGATCAACTGAAGATTTATTTGCTCACGTCACGCATATATGGCATGCTTCATTAGAAAATCACGGGGAACTGCTAGCTGTGGCGTTAGATATGTCGAAAGCATTTGACCGTGTTTGGCACTCTTGCCCTCTTCTAGTGTCTTTCAGACAAATAGATAGCCCCAGGTGTTGGTGGACGCAGTAGAGAAAAACAAATACTTTGGCTATATGCCACGCAGAACATTGAACTACGCACCTCCCGAAATGTATGCAATGATTCGTATAGACGAATTAAATCGCGAGTGATTCTTCCTGAATGCTGAATTGTGCTTATTTTGTTCGGAATCGCTTGACTACCTACAGAACGGTTTCGAGCTTCTTTGGCTCTCATCAGTGCAGGGTCGTCTCATTCATGACCGCTATCTGGTGCGAAACTGACCCAACGTAAACACATCCCTGCATTTAAAACCCCAGATGGACGAACGTCATATGAGCGGAAGACCTTTTCTTAGTTGATATACAGGTGTACTGCCCCATACCATTTTTCCAAAGGATAATCACTTGAATATCCTTTCAGCCCCACGTTGGGCGCCAAGTTGTTGCAAAACCGGTAAGTGATATGCCGGTTACGTAATGAAATCTCAGGTGTAGGGTACTAAAACTGAGGGAAGGAGCAAGCAGTGATTTCTTCTGATAGTTTGAATTATTGTATCCCCTGAAAAATGCATACATGACTTCAATATAAATGTGTCTCTAACCATGAACTGGGAATTGTTCCAAACAACATTATCTACAAATTGAACTATGGAAACCTACATAAAGAGGACCTGATACCAATAATCTCAGGATAATATTCAAAACCATAAGGTTCGCTTCTTGACTACTCATATACGCTATTTCGAACTAAGAAAACAGCATCGGATTACGCATAGATTCACATGCAAGGCCTGTTCGTTTGTGCTTGCTCTACCTGCTGAACTTGATTTTTTTCTATGACTCTCTGTCTACATCATGCCATTAACAGAGACAACTATGGAAAAAAATCAACTTCAGTAAGTTCAGCAATAGAAACGAACAGGCCTCCACTCTCGCAATTTCTTTTAACACCAAACACGAATGATCAACCAAAAAAACGTTTCGTGAGTACTGGACCGACAGACACGCAAACAATTTTGGGCTGAAATGCGGATGCAAACGACATCTTTTTATTGGATGAATATGCAAATAGTTCAAATAAAAAGATATTATCATGGTAGTACCATAATGATATGAAATGAAGAGAGTATATCGACACTCTTGTCCTGCTACAAGTTCAAACGATTGTTCAGTCAAGAAGAGCATCGCGCCACTCATAGTCGACCTTGATCAAGATGATCCTACACCATCTGTGGTTTCACTAACATCTTCATGTTCAAATGTCAAACAAGTGGGTAGAAATCATATTGGCTGCGTCAGTTGATGAATTCAGCAACATGAGGAAGTTATTACTCCTCGATGATATTCAGCTGTGATGTCCTTCATAGTTAGGTGATTTGTGTGGATTGGTGAATTGGGATCAATCCGAATTCGCGGATGAATCCTCCAATGCACTATCAGCTCCGGCAAGGCTTTTAGGATGAAAACATTAACATTTTTGAGTGTCAAACGGATCCGAATTCGCCACTGACATAACTATCTAGACCGCCAATGGTCATATCCCAGCAACCAGAAAATCTCATTCAAATAGCTCGCCTGAAAACGCTTCTGCTCAACGCGCAAACTGTCGTTCATGACATCGTGTCATGTTTCTTGGTGTTCGGGAACATAACTTAGAGTGAGATCCTGAATGATTCATGTTCCCCAATTCGACCTCGGGAGTGGCATAGATCATAGATTATTTCTCATCATTAGCGGTCTAGATATTAGTTATATATATGGCAGTGGAATAAGCGGATGCATCATTCAGTGCAGCGTCGAGCCTCAACACATTAACACGTTCAAGTTTCAAACCCAAACGTGTAAGGAGAAGTTGGAATTATATTTTGTGTATCGCTAATATCAACTTTCAAGTTTGCTTCGTGTGGATTGGTAGATTGGGATAGAGTCTCATTTGATTGGCCCAACAATAATTCATCATTGATTAGGAACATAGGAAAAGTATCATTCCTCAGGGATATATACTTTATCTCTATCATTTTATCCCTGGCAGTACCAGTCAGGAGAACTCGACAGGCCCAGTCAGCACATCCATATTCGTTCTCAACCTTGAAATATGTCGAATAACAATTTAACAAAACTCGTTCGTCTATAGAACGGCAAAGCTTCGGAATTCTTTACCAATGGAAGTATTCCGAAGAACTTAAACCTCCAGAAGTTTGATAAAATTCCAACACCTTCCTTTTCTTTCTATCCATCCTATAGGTACGCATGATATGTTCTTCGAACATCATAAGAATTTTCTCTGGTACGCTTCAAGAGCCGAAAAACAAAAAGAAAAAAAGTTCGAGATTATCGGCATTATAAGGATTTATATCTTGAAACGAAGATGTGATCCAGATGATGGTTGAGATATTTTCCCACTTATTTAGATTCAATAGGTTTGTGCACGCAATAAGTATAGATGGTTCAAACACTGTCAATTTGCACATGATGAATTGATTCAGGAGAAATACATTCAAGATACATTGGAATAATAATTTAATCCAATCAACATTGATGTGAACTGTCACAGTTTTGACTCTATAGAAAAAATTAGTTACAGTTATAATATGTATGAAGTAAATATGTACTTATAAAAACAGGCAGATATTCAATCAACGATGAAAAATTGTGATATGAGATTCAGAAAACCTGTGAATATCATAGCAACAAAAAACATCAATTTCGTTGCAGTCAAGGCACCTTCCTTCCTCAAAGACATCACTTTCAGTAAACTGGGCATCAAAAATACGTAAATTAAGCCGCTCATAGCTCCTGTATACCTGTAAATAAACAAGATTTGTATAAAACACACTCGTCCCCCATGTACAATGGATGAACGATGGACGTTGATTATGGATGTTCCGGACATCTGATGGATGTCCAGAAATAGTACAATGTATATTCAATGGACGTCCTTGACGCCACTTTGGAAGTACATTTCAAGTCCAGAAAAGATCCAATGTATACATTTGTTCGTACATTAGGCGTCAATGGGCGTATACACCTTAGTAGAACTTGTAACTCAAACCATGCTTATAATGATCCTTTTATACATAAATAATGATAGACGACTTAATTCGATCGAAAAATTAACTGGAATGTTTTATTTTTGGACATAAATAATAGTACCTTCTGAAAACGGATCCTCTTATGACGTAGAAACCTAATCTCGCCATAGTTAAAAGAAAATACCAAACGCCCGACGGAGACTGAGGCAACTGATATATTAATTCTTTCAACTGTGATCTCGCGCTAATTCACTCTGTCAGAAATCATGTATCATTCATCTCTGTCTGGAATAGTCTTGTTTCAGTATTAGGGTTTTGACGTCACATCATCGCCTCGTTTTCAGAGGTCCGAAAAGTCGGGGATTTCAATAATTTTTATAAAACCGTTTTATCGTAATATATCAATCAACGATAAAACGTATAGGAAGCTCACAGCAAGAAACGGTTTGCGGTGGTGAGCTAGTTCGGGTGAGTTCTATCGAATTATGAAGTGATATGAGCCCATTGTGTGTCCAAATTTAGTGAAATGGATGTCTATTCATCCAAATAATAACCACTGTGGATATTTTCTGGACGTCCAATAATGTACATCCATTGTATTTCTGAATGAATCCAGAGGATACAGATACAAGGACTCCTGCAAATAATAGGTATAAATTTGGCAAAATTTGCAATTCATAAAACCAAGGCTCAGAAGTTTTATACTCAGGGTGTTTTACCACTAAAACAATAAATTGCACAAGAATTTCAACAGAAAGCGGGTTGATAAATAAAACTGTCGCCTTTTCTACAAAAGTTCTTCTCTCGATGCTCCTGCGTTTCGGTTAACTAACTAATTTTATGACTGGAATGAACCTCTTGCTACCTCGGTGTGTAATATACTATAACCTACATTACATATGGCGAGCAATATGTAGAATATAACCCTTCAGGGGTAGATGAAATCGACCCCAACATGTTTTTTAAAACGCTTCCCTATGGCTTGCGGCCCCTCATTGGAATCCAGGGTACCTATACTGATCATATTTCAGTTCGAGGTATTGTTTGGAGGTCGCATGAAATCAAAAAATAATTTCGAAGTTTCATATATTTCCCCCAGTTTGTAATAGCACTTAGTTTCGAACTGTGAATACGGCAAAAAAACTAAATTTCTTTTTTTGGCTCTAAAAAAACACGTGAATACAATAGGAGATAACAGTTGTGGCAAAAAATGCTCATCAATTACTCAGCACACATTTTGTGCTATTGTTACGTTGTAAAAAAAATTCAAAATGCATTGCTGCAACCTTTAAACGTATGAAAAACTAACATTAGACTAGTCCTACGCTGGATTCCTATTTCCACCAGCGTTCCAATAAGGAGTCACAAGTCATAGAGTTATACAGGGTGTATCAAAAAAATCTGACCCCCTTGCTAGGGTACGTAGAACACTGCAAAATAAGTTGGATTTGTGCAGTAAAAAAATGTCGTCACGGCATCCGTTTTCAAAATACAAGGTGTTGAAAAAATGATTTTTTTACACATTTTTTACGATTATGTCGAAACTACTGGCAACATTGTAATGAAATTTTGTAAGGATGTTTTTTGGAATCTGACACACATGGCATGAATTCGTTTTTCTATCTGACTCTCATAGTAGTTTTAAACATAACTTTTTTGAGGTTAGATTTTTCAATCCGAATTTGATGTGAACTTGAACATCATTCAATTTCACGCCAAAAAGGTACTCTTGGTAAAACTCGATACTATGTTCCGTTGTCGAAATATTCCGATTTGAAAATGATGACTGATAACTGTTGCTGGTATAAAGTTATATGTATTAGAGTGAGTATTGCAAACCGAAAAAAACAGTACATTTATAATGCTGAACTGATTGATTCAACAATGATTCACAAGAATAACATTGAAATAAATTTTACTAAAAACATGGATTACACAGTTTCGTTGTATCAAGCAAAATGTGTATGCTACAGAGGTAAATTTACGTCTGGAGTTGCAAGTCAGAATTGAACATCACTTAGATATCTCTGCTTAGATGATCTTACAGCTGATCCTCAACCGTTTGGTATAATGATTTTTAAAAAAATAACGAATCGTGTATTCGTGGAAACGGAGGACATTTTGAACACTTTAACTGATTCAATATTTTATGTTCCTAGTCAAATATTTCTCAATTTTCTATATACTTGTGCTTCTTTGTTCAATCAATAACCACAGCACAAGAATGATGTTATTGTTTCTTAATCTGAATAAACAAGTAATTGATCTCAATAAAATTCATTTTATACGAGCATCAGCTATATTCCATTATTTTCAAATCTAATTATTCCGAAAACGGAACACAGTATAGAGTTTCACCAAGAGTACTTTTTTGCTGTGAAATTGAATGATGTTTGAGTTCACATCAGATTTGGGTTAGTCTATGAGAGTCAGATATAAAAACAAATTCATGCGATGTGTCAGGTTTCAAAAAACATCTATACAAAATTTCATTACAATATTGCCAGTAGTTTCGACTTGATCGTGAAAAATGTGTAAAAAAATCATTTTTTCAACACCTTGTATATTGAAAACGGATGCCGTTACGACATTTTTTCACTGGACAAATCCAAATTATTTTGCAGTGTTCTACCTACCCTGTATATGAAAAAAATCATGTTGAGGGTGCATGGTTTCAGCTAGGTAAATACATTAAATCGTTGACAACGAATTTATTCGAGTTAGAGTCTCCACACTGTATACTCAATGTTGAGTATTATAAATCCCATGATCATACTCTAAAATCACACTCACCCCAAAATTGATCTAACTCCATAATCACACTTACTTTATAATCACACTTCAATATTCCACCGCGAAATCGCACTTACCCATAGTTGACCTTATTGTTTTTCAATTTACTTTCTTGCGTACCTTATTAATGTTCCAATCTTTGGCAGAAAGCAAGCGAACATGATGCACACGAATACAATGAAGCAATTCACGAGAATGGCTTTCGCATACGAAAACTCCCTATAGCTTTTGTTTTTGAACAAAACACTGGCGCAGCTGAATATGTCCGTTCTCAACATGAAAGTGACCAATGGGAACACCGTGAACAATTGGAAGAATAATAATAGTCTTGCGACCATTGCCATCGTGTCACTTTTAGGAAAATTGTTGAGGAGATTCTGAAAAAGAAAGATAATAATGATAGTACCTATAATAGTTCCTTATAATGATGACAGTGAATGATTATCATATTGTGATAATCGTTCTCTTCTGGGGATTTGTCTTTTGAAGTTCTTAACCTTCTAGTAGTCGCACGCGGAGTATCACTCCGCACTAATTTAAAACGCGAGTTTTCTCGAATACACTTTATTTCCACATTCCGCCGCACTCAGTACCTTCCTTAAATGGTGACTTAAGTACGAAACGAGTGTTACTGATGTGCAGTGTGGAGTCGTACTCCGCAGTGACCTTAGACGTCTAAAAGTTACATTGCAAATATTGCAGTTACACTTTGCAGCCATTTAAGGCGTTTTAGACAGAATCATATCTCATTTGATGGATGATATTTTATGAATGACCGTTTGGTAAACACATCGATCGATGCTACTGTGATATGAAAAAAAAAGACTCACTCGATTCAATTGTAGTATATGTGCTTATTGAAACACGCATCATTGATTTGAAGAGATTGTCGATGAGTCATTGATATGGATTATTGAAATTGGAATATTTTTATTTTGTCGTCAAATTATTGTGTTTTCAAATTCTTGTTATTAACTGTTCGATAGTTGTCGAATGTAAAGTTTTGGGTTTTGTTATTGAATAAATATATTTTTATTGCAATTTTGAAATCTTATTCCGTAGTAATATTCATGTCCAAAGTCATTCTGATATAATTTTTGGTGAATTTCAATTCATCATGTTCAAACCAACCAAATTCTTTATTGCGGAGTCAGACTCCGCAGCTACAAACAATTTCCTTCATAAGGCGCGACTACTGGAGCGGTAATCTTACACCATAGATAGGTAGACTTTGCTCTGCAATTGTACGGTTGTGAAGAAAATATAGAAAACCTCTAATACTTACATCTTCGATACATGTTTTTGCTAGTGGAAAGGTGATGTAAAATGCCGTTCCTATGAAAAGGTATGTGAATGTTACCAGACCAAAGGCAATGGTCAGGTCTCTACCCTGAAAACAAACAATATTCACTCTATCTGGGGATCTATATTATACAGGGTGTTTCAGATTTAAATGTACAAATGATACCTGTAGATGATGGGGGACACTTCGGTGGTTCCAATTCACCACCCATTGATATGTCTACCGTCTTTTATAACTGAGATACAGGACGTTATCTTGATTTTGGCAAAATCTTCATCTGGTTATAACTTTTGAACCACTTTGTATAATTTATCCATACTTGATAGAAATATTCCACTTATATTACCCATCAAAACCATATAAAAATCCGGATCAGAATCCAGGTCCGTCTTGAGGAAAAACAGAAAACTTCTTTTATCTCAAAAACAACACCTTGTATGGAAAAATTTTGTAGATCTGTTTTGATATTTGAAAAGAGCAGGAAAAAATGAAATAAGTGACCTACATTTTACGAGTGCGCATCTAATTCGACAGATGGTTTATTATCAAGTTTTGAAATATTCAGCTCCATTTCGAGGCATTTTTCTTGAACTTATTATTCAAAATCCAATTTTAATACAAAAAAATGACAGTCTTCAAAGTTCAACATCATTAGAGTCAAATTAGGTGAACTATCGATAGATTTGATGTGACAGAATCACTTGTCTATGGTATCATACATTTTTGAGGGCTCATTTTATTCTCCACTATTAATTCACAAGCTGCGGTTAAGTAGGCTGTGCAAAAAAATCTGATATTCTGACAGGTCATAATCACTAGTGTGATATTATTGGTAATGTTAAGATAATTATTTCTGGTGCTTGTATTGGGTTGTTACATTTCAAAGTGTTCATAATTATTGTGCCTACAATAACTATACCAATAATATCGCAACATTCGCAACTATAGTGATTATGAACTGTCAAAATTTTCATTTTTTCTTCACAGCCTACTTTACCGCAGCTTATGAATAAATTGTAAAGTATAAAATGAGCCCTCGAAAGTTTTCAAAATCATCGACAAATCATTCTGTCAAACAAATTTATCGATAGTTCACCTAATTCTCTAATGATGTTGAACTTTGGAGACTGTTATTTTTCTGCATAAAAATTGGGTTTTGAATTATGAGTTCAATTAAAATGCCTCGAAATGTAGCAGAATATTTCGAAACATGATAATAAACCATCTTTCAAATTGGATGCGCACTCGTAAAAAGTATGTCACTTCATCCTTTTTTTTTTTCGCTCTTTCCAAATATCAAAACCGATCAATAGCATTTTGCCATACAGAGTGTTGTTTTTGAGATAAAAGAAGTTTTCTGTTTTTCCTCAAGACGGACCTGGATTCTGATCCCGATTTTCATTTGGTTTTGATGGGTAATATAAGTGAAATATTCCTACAAAGTATGGATAGATTATACAAAGTGATTGAGAAGTTATAACCAGATGAAGATTTTGCCAATATCAAGATATCGTCCTGTATCTCAGTCATCAAAGACGGTAGACATATCGATGGATGGTGATTTGAAACCACCGAAGTGTCCTCTATCTACAGGTATCGTATGTACATTTAAGCCTGAAACACCCTGTATAAAGAAATGGGTTTTTGAGTCATATATGATATTTTCCAGTGATTTGAATTACCTATACTATAAAATTATCGTTCAAAATTGGACATTTCAGGTGTAGATGATCCAGTTAAAAACATGCTACAGCTTTATCACTGCTGTATTTTCCAAATGTTCTAGAGATGTTTCAATCAAAGATATAGCATAGATGAATGTTCGCCTCAAATGAAATCACAGGACACTTGAAACTCATCACATGTTTCATAACCTTTGATTCATCAGTTTAATCTCTACTGAATTCCAAATCTTCCATGTTTTATCACAGAAATCTTTCAATCAGAGATATATCATAGATGAATATCCGCCTCAACTGAAATCACAGGACAATTGAAACTCATCACATTTGATTCAGCATTCTTATATCACTGCAAAATCCTAAATCTTCCATATTTAAATTAGAGATATAAGAATGATAGATGTCCGCCGCAAGTGAAATCATCACAGGTCACTTGAAACATCACATTCGAATCAGCAATCCTATCACTGCTAAATTCCAAATTAAAAACATGCGACAGCTTCATCACTACTGCATTTCAAATGTTCCATACATCATCACATAGATGTTTCAAATATACATATACAGGGTGTTATTTAAGTACGTGGCCAAACTTGAAGGGGTGATTCTTTGAGTGATTCTAAGACGAAAAGTTCATATAAACATAGGTCCGGTAATGCTTCGTTTTCAAGATACAGGGTGTCAAAATTTTTAAAGGAAATCGTTTTTTTCGTAAATATCTTAATAACCCTTCAACCGATTTCATTGAAATATGGCAGTGTTATTCAAGGTCGTAAAGGGCTAATTTAACCCTAACTATATCAGAATTATCATGTCCAGTGGCGTCCCGGAAGGCAATATAACCAATATTTTTGACAGAAAAAATGTGCGCCACTGATTTTTTTGCAATTTTTGTATTTGTTTCACATTGAGCAACTAAAATTACAACTTTTTTATATCTAGAATTTTTTTCGTATCTTGCTTTGTTTTTGAGAAAAAACATAAAAATCACTTCATTGCACATCCCTGTGACGAGCCGAAGCCAAGAGCCGGAGGCAAGTGCTGAAATTCATACATACATATTTTTTGTTTTTTCATTGCATTCATTTTTGATGGAAAATTCCAAGACTAGAATAGAGTATTAATATGAAAAAATATTAGTAAGACCCCAGTTTTTGATGGTTTAGTAGTTGAAATGTTTTATTGTGTTGTCACAGGGATGTGCAATGAAGTGATTTTTATGTTTTTTCTCAAAAACAAAGCAAGATACGAAAAAAATTATAGATATAAAAAAGTTGTAATTTTAGTTGCTCAACGTGAAACAAATACAAAAATTGCAAAAAAATCAGTGGCGCACATTTTTTCTGTCAAAAATATTGGTTACAGTGCCTTCCGGGACGCCACTGGACATGATAATTTTGATATAGTTAGGGTTAAATTATCCCTTTAAGACCTTGAATAACACTGCCAAATTTCAATAAGATCGGTTGAAGGGTTATCAAGATATTTACGAAAAAAACGATTTCTTTTAAAAATTTTGACACCCTGTATCTTGAAAACGAAGCATTACCGGACCTATGTTTATATGAACTTTTCGTCTTAGAATTACTCAAAGAATCATTCCTTCAAGTTTGGCCACGTACTTAAATAACACCCTGTATATATAGCATAGATAAATGCGGATAAATGTCTGCCTCAAATGAAATCACAGGATACTTGAAACTCATCACATGTTTCATAAAATTTGAATCGGCAGTTCTATCTCTGCTGGGTTCCAAATCTTCCATGTTTTATCACCAAGATGTTCCAATCAGAGATATATCATAGATGAATGTCCGACTCAAATGAGATCACAGAACAATAATTGAAACTTATCACAATTGATTCAGCAGTCTTATCACTGCAAAATTCCAAATATTCCATATTTTAATCAGATGTTCCAATTAGATATACAGGGTGTATCTAAATAGCACCGAAAAAATTCAAGGGGTGATTCCATGTGATATTTTAGGAAATAAAGTTCACATAAACATGTGTCCTAACTTGCTTCGTTTTCGAGATACAGGGTATTGAAATTTCCATGAAAAATCGTTTTTTTATTCATTACTCATTTGTCTTTCCATCAATTTCAATAAAACGTTGTGGTTTTGGTAATATTAATATGGAGCTCCTTCTAGGGCCATCAGATTCTGAATAATATTTCCAGTGGCGTCACAGTGGGTAAATTTAGTCTCATATTTTTATTAGATTGGACTATTGAAATGACAACTTTTTTATCATATTTCGCAGAACTTTTTTATCCTTTGTGTAATTTTTGTATCTATCTAAATTTTTGAGGATACATTGAAAATTCGATTTGACTTCAAATTTTAATGTAGGCGTGTTTTCAAGAGTTCCATTGAGATTACTCAATAACTCCAATTTGAATCATTTTGAAATTTTTGGGGCTTTCTGAGTCTCCAACCATACTGAATTTTAGCACTATGAAAGCTCATACAGGGGGGTTATAAATAAAAACAATTGATACTCACACCTTCAACATCCTGTATCTCAAAAACGGAGCAAGTTAGGACTCATATTTACATGAACTTTAATTGCTCCTCATGATGTTTTCGATGTTATTTAGATACACCCTGTATATCACAGATAAATGTCCGCCTCAAGTGAAATCATCACAGGACATCTGAAACCTATCACATTTGATTCTGCAGTCCTCTATCACTGCTAAATTCCAAATATACCATTTTTCCATCACAGAGGTGTTCTAATGAAAGATATAGCTTGGCTTAGATGAATGCCTTAAATGAAATCTGGCTCACATCGAACTGATATAACATGCAGTTCTGATATAACAGTTCTTTCACTGCCTTACTTCTAAATGTTCCACGTTTCATCACAGAGATGAGAGATGTTCCGATCAGAAATATACGGCATACTTTGATGAAGTCCGCCTTGAATGAAATCACAGACTTGTCCTAGATTTGCCACATCGGTCTTAAACATGATTCCATTGGCAATTTATTTTTCACACCCTAGTAGTTACATATCGCTCTATCCTAAGAGCATACCAGAGACGTTTGTGAAAATGGTTGAAACAATAATATGAAAAATGGTCTGTTGAATGTGAGTAAATACCTACGTCACTGATCAAGTTTCGCCAAATCAGTTATACGTCCTACCCACGTGATTCTCCAACATGCTAGGGAACAATATGATAGATGTACAGATTGTCTCAGTTTCAGGAAAAAAAACAACAGAATACGGGACTCAAAAATGTGTTGTATTATTGGTTGATGTTATTTTATTAGTAAATATGGAAGCTTACATTTTGTTCCTGATGCTTGTTGTGCCTCATGACCGAAATTATAATGTTGTGTATGAAATAACTCATAGACAACATTCCACTCAGAACACAAAATGTCGGCTTCAAATCGAATTCTATCGACCAGTTTTGGATGTGTACTCCCCATCCGACTGATTTGATAGCCACGAAAATAAGAAGGTAGCCAACACTGAATGTACCTAGAAAAATTGAAATCATTAAACGTACAGAGTGAATGACAAAAAAGGTCTTAAGCTATCATAGCGCCGTTTTTTATTTTCACGAACCAGAAAATAGTGTGCAATGATATCGAATTGGGGGTATTCAACCGCCTTCAATATTCTGTGTTAATCGAGTCAGGAATAGTGTCCATATAGCAGCACATACAGGGTAGGTCATGAGGAACTGTGACAGGGAATTTTCAAAGGTCACAAACAAACATCAGAAATAAATTTTCTAAATTTTCCTCACACTTTCACTGCAGTTTGAAAAGAACTATGAATTTTATGAGAACACGAAATTTTGGCAAAACATTTATTTATTCGGAAATTAATACTTAGCAACCCATAAATTTCACGAATAAAAGTGAGACTTGCATTTTCAATGCTTCAGCTCAATTTTTTTTTGTGGAGGATAAATAATAATCACCCTGTAGATCTATTTCGAATCAGTGGATGGAGTATCTGAGTTTTATCTATTCGATTTGTTTTATTCAGTTAATTTGGTCACTTATTTTCCTTACTAGAAATATTATCCGCCTTTGTCAGTACATCTTTTGAAAAATAATTGTGAATAAACCTTTATTATCTGTTCGAATATTTGAATCGATGACCATTAACATCTAAACAGATACCCCATCCAATGATTTGAAAAAGATCTACAGGGTGATTATTACTCTCCACAGAAAATGAAATGACGAAATTCAGGCGGCCTGGAAAGGAAAGAACATGTTGATTTTCATTTGGCTGATTCAATGAAAATGTGAGTCGTACCTTTGAATAATGAATAAATTTGTTGTCAAACTTTTGTTTTTGCTTATAATTAATTGTTTTTCGTAAAATTATGTGAAAATGTGAGGAGGATTTTGAATATTTTATTTTTGATGCTTGTTTGTGTGCTTTGAAAATTCCTTGTCACAGCAGTTTACAAAAACCATATACAGGATGAACTTTTTGATAAAAACCAAACTATCGAAATTTTCCAAAAACGGTCCCGGATTTTCCTGATTCTGGTAATGTCAGTCGATTAGGGTTCAGTTGAGGAAAATTCTGTGAAAAAATCAGACGATTCGAAGGAACTGTGGGAAAGCAATGCCCAAAAGATGTTTTTGCCAAATCTCATTATTCACCATATAAATTGCTAAATAAGAGAAAGAGACACTTTCTGCTGGATCCTCAAGGGCCTCTATTCGTGGTAGGAGTATATGTACAGTTCCTCATGACTCACCCTGTATATCGTTGAGATTCGAGATACGGATACGATACGAGTATCGTAAAGATTTCTATAACCCTAACAACACGGGATCTTGCTGGTACATCCCGCTAAGGTCCTACAAATGTCCCAATGTTTCAGACTTAGGTACGATATCCCAGATATGTTTCTCTTGGGACATCCATCAGATGTTTTCATTGGATGTTCTAAAAACATTCCATTTGATCTTTTTTTATAAACAATATTATGGTTCCATATCTGCTAATGATGATTGACATGATTGAACAGTTCAAACAATTGTGACATTTGAAACATTGAAAAATTGATAAAAAATGGAAATCAAAACTGTATTCGTACAAATATACTTATACCTATACCAAAGCTGGCTAATTTCATCGATAAAAAATTGAAATAATTTTACTAAATATTCCTCAATAAGATTACCAAAGTACCTGCTTAACTTCATGAACCATATGTAATGAACGACACAAAATCAAAATATATCTCTTCAGAATATTCATTGATGTATTTATTTGTTATACCAGCCGATAGATGGCGGTACAACTACGTTGTTAAGAGTTACTAACAGCCGTCGGCCCAGCGCCAACAAATATGAGCCTCAAACAACTTTTATCATCTTCCATTAGTTATTGGACCGCACCGACCTTATATTTTCGGATTCGGATTTTTACTTGATATCTGGAAATACGTCGGGCATTTTCAAGATTTCAGATTGAAAATAATTCATACCGTGTCATCCATTACTGTCATCAAACAAAAAACATCCTATATAAAAGTTTCTTCAAGATGTTCCATATCAAGTACCCTGAATGTCTCTGGTACATATCCCGTATCTTCCCACAAACATTCTGATGGGATGTTTATAAGACATCGCAAATGCTGACACGGGTGTTGCCAGCAACATCCCAAGAATGTCCCAAGGAAAATAGTGATTTTCCAGAGATGTTCCTATCATCCCATATGGATGTTTCTACAACGTCTTACAGATTTTATTGTGTTATTAGGGAACGACATTAGATAGAGAAGGAGCTGTAAATATCTAAACTAGTCAATACATGGAAAGTAAACTCGATATTTTTAATTGTGTAGTTAATGAGAATAGCATTATTGCTTTTGGGTGTATGATAAATTGACATTCATCATACAGGGCGTGGAAATGAATTCTGAATTGAGACTCTATCACGAATCTGCGATTAGAGGTCTATAAAAATCACAAGTTTCCATCGTTCAAGTTTGAACCCCCTGATTGGGTATGAAAGTGTTGAAAAGGAATATTCTCAGATGAATTATGAACATACAAAAATGGATATATATTTATATAAAGCAATACATTGAGAATTTTTATATTTTATTTTCAAACTCTTATCGTGTGTGTTCAATAGATATAATTCAATGTTCGTCGTGGCATATAGCCAGGAAAGTAGTTGTTTTCTATTGAATTAACTGAAAAAGAGTAAATATTCTCATCACATAGAGAATGCGAATTCTCAATGTATTGCTTTATATAAATATATATCCATTTTTGTATGTTCATAATTCATCTGAGAATATTCCTTTTCAATAGCATTATTGTTTATAAAACTTATTTCTCACCGAGAGAATTGAATTTCGTGAAGAAAGTGGGACTTTTGAAGTTCAGAAGGGGAAGCGTGATCACAGCCAGAAATACAGGGACCGTACTGTAGAGGTCCCAAACCTTATCGAAGACAGTGATTTCCATGGGGAACACTCCTGAAGGTGGCAGTATATTCGTTTCGTTGATGCCCAAGATATTTTCCTTCAAACACAATGGACTTTTCTCAATTTCTACGCTCTCACTACCAGTCAGATACCCTAGAACAAGAAATGAAATAAAGTCAATACAGGGCGACATCAGAATAGATACATACAGCCCATACAGGGTGACTGACAAAAACGCCTCAACCCATACGACGCTAATTTATTATCCGATTTTCAAAACAAAAATGCGAATCAAATCTCTTATCAGATACAACATGGTGGCACTAACAATTCCCATTCTAACGACATCGATTGTCAACTATTTTTCTAGTGATTTTCAAAAAAAATTAATAAAATCTAAAGGCTTTGGGGGGGTTAAAATTGGTCTCACAAAAACATTCAGATGAGCAAAGATTAAGAATTTTCAATGGGCATTCAGAATCACTTACTAGAAAATGCGAAAAAGAATAATTAACCTAGAAATTCAACATGAACTGGAATTTTTCAAATGGAACACCCTGTATTTCATTATTCTAAACGGTTGAGCTATTTCTCTATATTGTTCTAAAAGGAAAATAAAATAAAATACAGAGTGTTCTACTCAAAAAATACCTACCAGTTTATGTAAACTTCTCAGGTTGACGATGCTTTCTTGCATTTTCTAGTAATAGGTTCAGAATGCCATGAAAAATACCTAATTTTTGCACATTCGAACATATCTGTAAGACCAATATTAACTGAGATAGCTATGGAGTATAATATAAACAATCACCCTGTACATTCGAAATGATCTCATAATATATCACGCGTGCTATCAGTTTTCAAATTTTCGTAGGTACTTTGGCTGGAGATGGTCTTGGTTCAAATTAACAGTGTTTCATCTTCTACGGTGGCGTGTGGAGTTACTAACAAACTTTTCACAGAAAACACATGTTGGCTGATGTTTCAGTTTGTAGTCGATTATAATGAATAATATGTTGTTGCCGAATTCTGCATTTGCCTGGATGCTATTGTTGCCAAAATAGCTACAACCCCGTATTGAAAACTTACCGTGTAGGAAATATACGAAATTGTACAGGAAATTAGACATCAGAATCCAATATACGATGTCCCCTCCTATCAGTACGATCAGTGAGAATATTTTCGAAACAACTTCTGCCCATCGTCCTACCAGAAGGCCACAGAGATCTGAAACTTCGAAATTCTGCCCAACTACACCTGAAAAACAAAAACATGTTATTGTTTCTGATGGTAGGATGAACTTCTTCAATTGCTTTACGGGGTTTTTTAGAAAGAATATTGTCTATCAAATTAACGTTGTATCCTTGTTGATTACAATCTGTTTTATGATTGAGTTCTTTATTGAAATTGACTTGACTAACCTGTTGATCATAAAATTTCATGTTACTGAGGGTGTGTTGAATCATTATGAATAGTGATATCAAAGTGGCAAAGTTGATGGAAAATTGACAAATCATGTTTCATTTATCATTAATTTTACTTATTGTCAAATCCAAGAAATTGATCGACTTTTCTGTTTCAATCTCTTAAATTTGAAAAAGATTTCATTCATTATAATCTAATTTATTGTGATGACGTTATCAAAAATACGAGTGGACCAACAAAGGACAATCGACATGTCTGACCTTTTTTTCCCCAATGTCCATATCAAGCTTCTGACATTTTTTTTCAGTCTTTAAGTGCTCACTGTATATCTTCTAATGATGAATATACAGGGATTTTGAATTCTGGTTGGCTCACTATTGCAGATAAATTGGTTATTATTGGAGCAACAAAAAATAGTAGTATTTTTTCTGCTGATTACAATGATAAAATCGGGAAAAAAAATCGAACATCCCGTTCAAGAGTTATCTCAAAAGGTTGAATTTTTCAATGGTCCACCCAGTAAGTATACAACTTAGTTATTTTTGAATTTCGGATAGAAGTTTATAAGACATAGTTCTTGTTCAGACTCAAAAAAATGTATAAAACCAGGGAGTTATATCTTTTATTGTTAAGTCGAATGAGAATATGAAACTTAGGTTTTTTAATTTTCTAGTTCCCACGGAAACGGATATCCTGTAATGTTCAGAGAACATCGTGAGAACCAAGGGAAATAAGGTAGGAATTGGTGTTCTTCTTGAATTTCTGGGGGTTATATGCCTCAGGGAACACCTCCCTTGGCAATATGTTCCGAAGCCTCGCTGTTCGTTGAATGAACGAGTCTTTAGAACGAGATGTCCTGCAGGTCTCCAAAGTGACCACGAAGGGGTGCAAAGCGAAGCGAAGGGTGGAACAATTGTTGATATTTCAGAAGAGCATCGTCCATGAAAATATCTATTGAATAAAGCCAGATCGCCAATTTTTCTACGGTATTCTAGAGAAGTGAGTGAGTTTGTGATGGAGGCATCACCCACTAGACGAATTGCCTTTTTTTGGACAGAATTCAACAGTTTCAGGGTATGTTTGGGTGCTGCACTCCAAATATGGGAACAGCATTCCAGGACAGGTCGGATCTGTGCCTTATAGATCATAAGCAATTGACTGGAAGTGAAATAGCTCCTGGTCCGAAACAGAAAACCAAGTTTTTGGGATCCACTTTTAGCAATTGATCTCACGTGATTTTCCCAAGAAAGGTATGGTCACTCCTGACAAGCTCATGTTGGGCACAGTGAGCTCGGCTTTTCTAGGGAAATGGCATGCTTGTGTTTTGTATTCTACGAAAATATTAGATCCCCATTCGAGAATTGTTGCCAAGTCCATATTCATGTTGTCAACATTTCTCCCTCGTTCGTTTCTGATTTGCCTGGATGGAATTGGAGCCTTGGAAGAGAAGGCGGTATGGAGGGTACTATCATCCGCGAAGCTGTGTACTGGACATAAAGTTGCTTCCAACAAATCGTTGATATGGAGTAGAAATAGTGTTGGTGCTGGAATTGCGGAACACCAGCATTCATGATAAGAGAGTCAGATGAAATCTCCGTCGACCACTACATGAAGAGACCTGTTTGAGAGAAAACTAGCTAGCAGAGAACATAGGTGGTGAGGAAAGCCATAAGATGGAAACTTGGCGAGGAGTCCGTGGTGCCAGACTCGATCGAATGCCTTGGAGATATTAAGCGTCTCGGCTAAGGTTTCACCATATTTTTCAATAGATTGCTGCCATATATGTGAGACGTAAGCGAGCAGGTCACCAGTTGATCTCTGATGACGGAAGCCATATTGCCTATCGTTGATAATACCAGAATGTTCCAGGTATTTCATGAGCTCGATGTTGATAGCTTTCTCCATGATATTTGAAATAATAGATAGCAGTGCGATCGGTCTGTAGTTGCTAGGTAAAAACAATGGGGCAAAATGATTTTTATTATGAATATTGATCAGGTAGACCTTTGAGGCGCCACTAGGATGATTATGGTGAATCTAGTTTCGTCAAAACAACAATCAGCTGAGGAGTTTTTGAGCTTTGTGAAAGAACAAACTCCATTCCTCAAAAAACTTCTAACACCTTATTGCTCGAAAACGATGAAACTCCAAAACATACAAGTTCACATACTTGAACGTTTCTTTCAATTTTTTTGGGTTCTATCGACTATTACATTTTCCTGATCACAATATGAAACACCCTGTATCCAGTACCTAATGCATGTCCGGAAGTGAGTGAACTCACCATGTTTAGCATTTATGCTGAGTAGAATGTAAGCGGTATAAGTGCACAGTCCTGCGATGATGATATTTATGAGAATCCCAGGAAACAATCCACTTTTCTCGATTCCCCATGCCATGGCTAGCAAAGAACTTCCCATTGTTGTGTTCCATACCGCGAATCTGAAATAGTATATATTACATAACTAGTGTGGAAAGTGACATAGTCCGCGCGAGTGCAGAAACGGAACGAGCGCAGCAAATGCACTTCCCAACGAGTTTTGTACACTATTTTTCCTACGACCACAAATATTTATATTATATGTCATGAGTGTTTATAAGACCAGAGTAGGGATCATGTTTCTGATCATATTCGATCACATGAAGGTGATATCATTATTATTATTATTCAATTTTACTTCAATATTTAAATTACATCATTAGTTTAACGTTAACTTAACATTAACTTAACATTAACTCAACATTGACTTAACATCAACTTAACATCCACTTTAACATCAACATAACATAAATTTAACAGTTACTCAACATTAACTTGAAATTAACTCAACATTAACTCAACATCAACTCAACATTAACATAAAATTAACCTAACATTGACTTAACATCAATATAACATATTAAACTCAATAATTATCTAACATTAACTCAACAAATTAACTTGACATTACCTTAAAATCAAATTAACATCAACTCAATATCAAATTGACAATACATTGACATTAATTCAACTTTCAATTGAAATTAACTTGATTTCAACTTTTCATCAACTTAACATTACGTCAACATTAACGACAATAACTCATGTTAAATCGACACTAACTTTCCATTAACTTGACCATAACTAAACTTACATTATAATCTATAGACCCTGTTACTGTGCGATTTTCGAATATTTCCACCCATGTGAGTTTTACTTTCGAACTGTTATATGTTGTCATAGTAAAACGAGTCACTTTCTCAATAACAAATCAATGTGTTTTGTGCTGTTTTCATAGGTGGTCGTAGGAAAAATAATGATACCTACATTCTTCAAATGGTCTTGAAGTTACACTTTTTGTTGCGTGTTTGTAAATTATTTCTTCATGGAATGCCAAAGATCAAAAATAAACATGCCTAGGTATAATATGTATTTCTGTAATCGCCCTTGAATATTGTTCATTCTAAATATCAGAATATGACACTGAAGTGTCACTTCAGCTCCTAGGACCATAACGAAATACTGTTGATCCATGGAACTAAAAGTGTTGCCTGGCAAAACGCCGCTGATGGTTCCCTTCAGGGGCTCACAACTTGTGAGTTCGGGAATGACGATCCCTAGGCATTGAACTCTCTCTTCTCTTCTCTCACCGTCTCGATAAATAAAAATATCAGTAATCTTTCCATATATCTGATGATTCGGCACGAAATGCTGTCTTTAAAATTCCACAATTAGAAACGTGAAGGAAACATTAAATCGATAATCAGTGACACCATGTCTGAAAAATGTTTAATTTTTCCTATACGCTCTCATACTAATACTGAATCCGGACCATCTAGGGTTTGTTAATCTGTGCCATCAGACACTTTGTGTTTGTATACATATTTCGAGCTATACAGGTGTCATCCATAAAGTTAGCATCACATGGGAAAAACTTTCAATAATTTATTTTGATATTCGACTTTTGGCGTTTTGCTTCAAAAAATTTGAAAAATGGCCTGGGCCTACAATCTACTACTCGTTTCCCTTGTATAATAAATAACTATTAAAAGTTTTTTCCCATAATATGATGCCGACTTTATGAATGACACTGTAGAAGGCCTGAGAGAGCAATAATACAAAAGAATCATTATGTCATTGTTATTTCTCAACTGATTCAATTTCGCGACAAGTTTCATCATACATTTTCCGGAAATGTGAAAGAGCAACAGTGTTTGTCATATTTTATGTGCATAAGGTCGAGCTATCGCCTAAGATAAGTTGAAAAAAACATGATAAACGTGACAGATTTTTCAGCAATTGTTATTATTGAGACACTTTAATGATGAAATCAAATAGGAAGCGATTATTATCTACTTTTGATGGTACAATATGACGAGAGACTCGATTTTTTTCAACACATCGTGTAGTTTTGTCCTTGCTTTTCGTCTTGTCGCTAATTCATTTGTTTTTGTGTTCAGTTTGTCCATATGTTTTATTTTCTTATCAATTGTTCTAGCTGTCTTCATATTTTGTTAGCTCTTATTCGTTTTATCGCCGTTCTATCATAGAATATTGTCTTTTTAATTCTTTGGATCGCACTTAAGATAATCTCTTTCATCTTCGTGAAACATAGCACGTCGCTGAGCTGGATAGGAAGAGAAGAGAGATATTGGAAATTGGAAGTTGTTCTGTATTCTTGAAACTTATACATCTTGTGGGAATACTTTCTCACAAAGCAAAGAATTCCGAAGATTCGCTGTTCTATGGACAAACGTGTGTTGATAGAGAGTTGTTCGACGAAAGAATGTGTTGATGGGCTTCTCGAGTACGTCTGACTGGAAAATATGACGAGGGACTCGATTTTTTTCAACACATCGTGTAGTTTTGTCCTTGCTTTTTGTCTTGTCGCTAATTCATCTGTTTCTGTGTTCAGTTTGTCCATATGTTTTATTTTCTTATCAATTGTTCTTGCTGTCTTCTTATTTTGTTAGCTCTTATTCGTTTTATCGCTGTTCTATCATAAAATCATATTGTCTTTTCAATCTTTTGGATCGCAATAAAGATAATCTCTTTTATCTTCGTGAAACATGGTACGTAGCTGAGCTGGATAGGAAGAGAAGCGAGATATTGGAATTTGTTCTGTATTCTTGAAACTTATACATCTTGTGGGAATACTTTCTCACAAAGCAAAGAATTCCGAAGATTCGCTGTTCTATGGACAAACGTGTGTTGATAGAGAGTTGTTCGACGAAAGAATGTGTTGATGGGCTTCTCGAGTACGTCTGACTGGAAAATATGACGAGGGACTCGATTTTTTTCAACACATCGTCTAGTTTTGTCCTTGCTTTTTGTCTTGTCGCTAATTCATCTGTTTCTGTGTTCAGTTTGTCCATATGTTTTATTTTCTTATCAATTGTTCTTGCTGTCTTCTTATTTTGTTAGCTCTTATTCGTTTTATCGCTGTTCTATCATAAAATCATATTGTCTTTTCAATCTTTTGGATCGCAATAAAGATAATCTCTTTTATCTTCGTGAAACATGGTACGTAGCTGAGCTGGATAGGAAGAGAAGAGAGATATTGGAATTTGTTCTGAACTCTTGAAACTTATACATTTTGTGGGAATACTTTCCTACAAAGCAAAGAATTCCGAAGATTCGCTGTTCTATATGGACAAACGTGTGTTGATAGAGAGTTGTTCGACGAAAGAATGTGCTGATGGGCTGTAGAGTACGTCCGACTGGCATTGCTAGTGATAGAACTATAACAGATACTCTTTCCGTAGAAGTATACTTAGGTTTGATACCTAGAAAAATGAGAGGCCAACTTCCCTACAGTATTCCGATGACATCAAGGAATTAGTGAGTGTGGCATCACCCACCAGGAAAATGACTGGTCGATCTCTAGATGGGATCTAAAAGCATCAGCGTATGTTTGGGTGCGTTACCTCATATGTGGGAACAGTATTCTGGAACGTATCTGTCGTGTTATGTGGATCATAGGAAGCTGTTGAGGTGTAAAGTAGATTTTTTTCTACAAAAAGAACTGAATTTTTCCAAAGCACCCTACGCGATGGATCTAATGTTGTTTTTCCATGATGAATAGAGAGAATTACAGACATTGATGGTATCAGTGAAATCGAGTATCAGAATGTATTTTTATTTTAGTCAAATAACTTTCCATGAAAAACTCTCTGGATGATTCATTATTCAATATACGTGTAGTAAGAGCAAATCAGATGATTTGCCCCAAAATGTCACTGCGTTTGAAGAATTTTCCTATCAGAAAGCCTAAAAGGAAAATTCACTAGCTTGTCATCAGTGACAATTTGTATTGAAAAAGGTTTGGAGAAGAGACAGGAAGGTATATAGGAGAGATATCAAATTTTCACTTAGCTCTGGACCTTTCGGGAACGAATCTGCTCCTGTTTTCAACATAAAAAATAGATATTTGAATAGCAAATTCGTATTTGTCTTGACACTTTTCAGTTCTCGGTGACAATTGGTGACGTTGGCAATCAAATGAGTTACAGGATGTTTTCATAAATTGATATGAATTTACCGTTTTCATTTTCAGATTTCAGTAGTGAATACCATAATGTTCTATATATATCAACTGAACAGGAAGCAATGCTATTGTCTCCGTTTAGAAGAGCAAGCAGATTCTTCGATTTTTCTCTTCTGCTTGTTATCTTCTTTTCCAATGATCTTATATTATTATTCCATTCTGCCATATGTTGTCCATCTTCAGTAAGGATATGTTCAGCTAGTTTTAATTTGTCGAAGTGTCTTTTCTTTATATTATATTCATATTTTTATTTTATGGAAACGAGGCGAGACAATCCCGAAAAATCTGGAACAATGAATGTACAGTCTCCTCGATTAACCAAGACATCATTTTTGGATGAACTTTACATAATCCTCAATATGGGTGATAGCATTTCCTTGACTATAAAAATAAATGAATCGATATGAATTAATGAATTGAAGAAATACTAATTATAGTAAGGAAGAGTGATAAGTAAACTTACATGGTAACCAGAGAACTATTTGTTTGGGTCTTGTCCTTCCTAATTTCCTGGAAACTGTCTTCTAGTCCAACTTTCTTAACAGGCAACTATAATACAAAAATATAGTGTGCATGATTGATTTATTTTTTTAATTGAATGATTGATGCGACATACTGATTTATTCTATCGTATGATAAGAAGCGCTTTAAGATTAAGGGTGTTCTGAGTGATTCTTCGTATGATTCACTGCAAACTTCATAATCGTGGGAAACTGTCAGTCTGTGCTTGTTAAACAATGTTGAATAATATACTATTTCATTTTTCAAAATATCAGAGGAGGTAAGTATACCTGTATATCATTGTTGTAATGTAAATTTTCTGATTCGATAACCATGCCTTCTTTGTTCAAATAAACAACTGACTGTAAATTCCTCAACAGGGGACTGAGACATTAGCTACTGAATACATTTCCACTTACATTACATTTAATGTGGAGTATATATCAGAAGCTTTTCTTTGAAGAGATTCATTCGAAGTTCGTGTCGAAGATTTAATTGATAGATACACTTTTACAATTACTCGTCTTGATCTCTTTCTAATACAGAATCATCAACTCATTTATAAAATGGTAATAGTATATTATCTAACGAGCTGTAATGTAGGTCACGCCGACTTCTGGTATACCCTGTATAGCTGACGGACTAAAAATATTTCAGGTAGATTGGAAATGATCGATTATAACAGCACACCAATTTTCAAGGTTTGTAACTGCTAGTTGGAAAATTTATAATGTGTGGCCTAGGTAAATCACCCTGTGTATGGAAATTATCTGAGATAGGTTCTTACCAGTCTCGTATTTTCTGTAACTGCATCGTCAAGGTTGGAGTACTTTTGAAGTACATCGTATATGTTCTCGTTGCCATTTGTAGTCAAATGTTTCTCATCTATATTTCCATACGAAGGAATTGCTCCCCTAGAAAAAAAAACAGTAAAATAATCGTTAATATATATGTGACATTCATTTCAATAACTTTCATCCATAAAATTTAACTAGATACTAAAAATGGTAGGTAATATTTTGATCAAATGAGTGTAATCATCCTATTTTCCATAATCTTGACTAATTTTCAAAAAGGTATATTCATTAATACTACGGAGAGGAGGTAGTTGTTGAAATTTGTTTTGAACGAACTTTTGGAGATTATATGAGTTCTTGGCAATATTTCCATTGCTGTATCCTGAGTTATTGTCGGTTTTTCTGGAACTACCTATATTCTAATATTCGGATGATGATGGGCTATGAGATAATAAATAGTATAGAAATATTGAAAAGGAACATTCTCAGGCAAATCACGAACATACAAAAATGGATATATATTTATATAAAGCGATACATTGAGAATTCGCATTCTCTATGTGATGACAATATTTACTCTTTCTCAGTTGATTCAATAGAAAACAACTACTTTCCTGGCTATATGCCACGACGAACATTGAATTATATCTATTGAACACACACGATGAGAGTTTGAAAATAAAATATAAAAACTTCTGAAATTGAGAATTTGCATTCTCCTTCAGATAAAAATATGTATATGCAGTATAGAAATAGTCAAGACAAGAAAACAGCACAGTGAAATATTATTGCATCCGTAACCCATTTATGGCCAATGTTGCGTATACACAACACAGTACAAACTATTTTTTCGATGCTAATTTTCGAATTTTTTATGAATTCCAGATCTTCTGTCTGGAGGAAGCAATAATAATCATTCAATTTCTCCATATTTATTTTCCGCATTAAGAAAAATTTCGAATCTATTATCGAAATAAGGTATAATTTTTATCAACCGCTCACCTATGAGTAAGTGAAATTAAAAAATATCTATTCCTCGCGTATCGCATTTCTTTATTCACAGCATTACCAAAATACCTCAGAAAAATGTAGAATCGTCAGGATATCTCAGTTATTTTCCAAAAGCAAGAAAATCGTATGAAAATTCATACGATGCTTATATGCATCATTGGCCTAATAGGTAAACGTAGAATTACGTGCGAAACGCACATGCGCGGTAGTGTAGAAAGAAGTTCGTGTAGTCACTGTGATTTTCTGATATCATGAGGTATAGATGATATAGTTAATTGTATAAGATGTTCATAGGAAAAAACCAGTGCGATTCGGATTGAATCTATGGTGTTGATGCTCATCTGATCTGTTACAAATTCTACAAATAATGCAGTATTCTGCATCAGAAAATGTGAAGGCCTTCAAGAACAAACCGAGAGGTGTTTATGATTGTGTAGTTGAAGAAAATATTCAGCTCAGTTGATGCTTCTGTGAATAGAAAAACTATAGAAAGGCCTTCTAAAGAACCTATCCCAAGTAGGGTGAGATTCGATTGAGTTGATGATATTATAGTTGAGCATCTTGAAAAAGTTGAAACAAGATGCAATGAGAGCAAAGGTCAAAAGATATAATAAAAAAATTCAACTACTAGTTCCCAATGTTGCGTCGGATGTTGCATAAAGAATAAAAATTCAGAAAATTATTGTCTAATTGATGTTTCTCATAATTTGGCCGTAAGTGGGTTAGGTTAAAATAGTAGTAAAGTAGTAGTTATCTTCATGATAGTCTTCAATTTATTGATGGGTAGTCTATTGAGAAGCTTCAGTGCTCAAAGAATTGTTGCATTATCTCTGATTCCGAGTTTTGCAAAAGATATACATAATAATAATTACTCTTCCTTGTATGATAATAAGGAAGGTCGCACTTTTTGAATTGAGCTTTTCCTCATTCCTAAAAACAAAAATACACATTTCAAGTATATAAAAACAGTGATAGTTAAAGGAAAGATTTGTTTGTTTGATTGTTTGTTAGTCTGTTGTTTGTTTGTATTGAATTGGCTCAGAAACTACTGAATCGATTTGAAAAATTCTTTCACCATCAGAAGCCGACATGATCCCTGATGAACATAGATTACTTTTTACTGCAAAAAAATGCTTCATTCCTACGGGAAAACGGATAATTGGACAACGGACAGTAAGAATAATTATCCTTACCTACGTATTTTCACATAACTTCTAAACGGCTGAACCGATTGGGTTGAAATTGTATATGGGTATTTCGATGGTTTCCTGGATGATTTAAGAATAAAATTGTGTGCGGTAGATGGCGCTGATGTCAGTACGTCACCTACTAAACGGCTTGACCGATTAGGTTGAAATTTTAAATACGTAATACAACAACAAAAAATACAAATGGTACTCAGAGAATGAAAATAGGTGAAAGTATATAATAGTAGCTACAGGTATACACACATAAAAAACAAATGAATATGATGTGTAGCATAGCTTATAATTTGAGTATAATACCTCATTCTCGTTTTCTGAATACTGAATGGTAAGGCGCCAAGTAAATTTGATTGAGTATCATTCTCACTCTCGTCACTACTGCAATTGTCTTGTTTGAACACTCTACGTTCATTTTCACTCATGCTCGAACTGAAACATAAGAAACATTTATACAGGGTGGAGACTTCAACTGGAATAAATTCGCTATACAGGAAGAGTGCATGATTTTTTTGGAAATTCGCCAGACACGTCCATGTTTGAATGTATATACCTACATTCCTTGCTCGCACAAGACTCTCGAAGACTTCTGAGAGTTGCTCGTAAGGGGGCAACCGAATGACGGATAGAACAATTTTAGAACAACAATTTTAGAACATTTTGACGAGCATTATTGAGAATATTTTCCTTCAGGGGTAGCTGGGATCAACCCCAATTTATTTTTTTCAAATGCAATCCTATTTAATTTCGAAGTTTAATATATTTCCAACGTATGTTCATAAAAAATTTGACTTTTAGCGACAGTGATACAAGGCATGTCCACTAGTTTGCAACGTTTCTAACTGTGAATAGGTACGGCAAGAAAACCAATTATTTTTTGCGGCTCTATGAAAACACTGGAATACAATAGCAAATAGCAGTTGTGGCGAAAACTTTCCATCAATTGTTCAACACACATGTCAAGCGATCGATACGTTGGAAAAAAAAATCAAATCACATTTCAATTTCATTTTATGCAACTTTCAAACATCTGAAAAACAAAAATTTTTGTTTTTCAGATGTTTTCCACCAGCTTTACAATAAGGGGTCACAAACCATAGGGCTTTGTTTGAAAAAATCATATGTTGAGGGTGATTTCAGCTACCCTTTGAGGGATATGTTCTCAATATTGCTTGAGAAAGGTAGGTAAATACATTAAATCGTTGACGTATGTTGGAAATTTTTAGAAAAAATATTCACCTCTTTGCTAACGAATTTATCCCAGTTAATGGCCCCACACTGTATGTACAAGTCTGATGATTATATCATATGATACAAAAACAAAAACAAATGGAAGTGACAATTCCAATCTACTTTTTATCAAATATGGCTCACCTATAACCTTGGGGGGAGGTCGAACTTGTTAATGGCTCATGATCCGAATCTGATTCGATCCCTTTTCTTTTGATGATGAGTTTATAGTTTCTTATAAGGTCTGAAAAGGAATTTGAAAGTGTAGCGATAGACATTTTCCAATTCAAGTTTGTTATAGAGGTGTATTGTTGAAAATATCGCTTGTATATAAATGTTTATTCTCTATCGAGTTTTTGCAATGCTGCAATGTTAATGTTCCTATATATAATTCAGGAGATTGGGACGGTCTCCGCATGTTTTCCGAGTTTCCTTGGCATAGAGTATGCTTTGACTCCGAGGACCCTTCACAGTGTGCTGCGGAAATATCCGAGATCATCATGCTCGGAATGGACACATACATACCTCATTCTTCGAAAAGATCATCACCATCGAAACCCTGGTTCAACAAAAACTGTTCTAGAACTGTTGCCTTGAAACAAACAGCCTACCATCGCTGGCGCAAAAACCCTAACCTCGCGATTAGAGCGGAATACGTTGATGCCAGGAATAACTGCAGTCAAACAATAGATGCTTCGAAAGAAACATACAATGCCAAGATAAGATCGAAACTCATAGATTGTCCCAATGGCTCCCGTTCGTTTTGGTCCCTTGCCAAAGCGGTCGGAAGAAATTTCACTAATAGTTCATTTCCACCACTGTCTAAATCCGACGGCACATTAGCAACAACATTGCAGGAGAAAGCAAATATTTTTGCAGAGATGTTCGCAGCAAACTCTACTTTAGATTCCCAAGAAAAAGTGCCGCCAGACATTCCACCGGTTGAGAGTCGAATGCCCGAAATCGTCTTCCGTCAAAGCACTATCAGACAAATTTTGCTTGGTCTCAAAACGAATAAGGCTAAAACGGTCCTGATGGAATTCCACCCATTATCCTCAAAAAATGTGCACCAGAATTGACATCGATTCTCTGCAAGTTGTTTACCGTCTCGTACAGGTCGGGTATTTTTCCATCATGCTGGAAGACAGCTAGAGTCCAACCAATCCCCAAAAAAGGGAACAAGAACCTGCCCAACAACTACAGGCCCATTGCCCTGTTATCAGTAATCTCCAAAGTGATGGAGAAAGCCATCAATATTGAGCTCATCGAATATCTGGAGAGCTCAGGAATCATCAATGATAGACAATGCGGCTTTCGCCACCGAAGATCTGGAGATCTACTTGCCTACGTCACCCATTTATGGCAAGCTTCATTAGAAAAACACGGTGAATCTCTGGCTGTCGCGTTGGACATATCGAAAGCATTTGATAGTGTTTGACACGAAGGACTCCTCCACAAACTACCATCATACGGCTTACCACCTCAGCTATGCCATCTCTTATCGAGTTTTCTTTCAGGCAGATCGCTTCATGTGGTGGTGGACGGTATATCGTTTGATACCATTAGCATCAATTCCGGCGTTCCACAAGGATCAATTTTGGCACCAACATTATTCCTTCTTCATATCAATATATGATCTGTTGGGAGTAACAACTTGCCCCACCCACAGCTTTGCAGATGATTGTACCCTCCATACTGCGTTCTCTTCCAGAATTCCCATCATTTCCAGGAAACTAAGAACTCTCGGCGCAGGCAGGTCAATGCTGTCAATGATGACCTTGCTGAAATCACAGCCTGGGGAACCAACAGCCTAGTTGAATTCAACGTCACCAAAATTCAGGCCTGTATTTTCTCTATAAAGGCGGAACTCTTTGACATCATTGGAACACCGTAGAAAGGTCGGCGTTCTTTCACTTTTCTATCGATACTTCCACGGGAACTGTGCTTCGGAAATTTTTGCTATCATCCCTTCACTAGCAATACCAGTCAGACAAACTAGACAAGCGTAGTCAGCACATCCTTTCGTTGTCAACCTCGAAAGATGCCGAACAGCACTTCATCAAAACTCCTTCATCCATAGAACGGCTAGGATCTGGAATTCATTGCCTGAGGAAGTATTCCCCACAACATATAATCTCCAGAAGTTCAAAAAAAATTCCAATACCTACCTCCTATCCCTATCCTCCCTAGAAACGCACGATGTTCTTTGAACATTATAGGGATTCCCTTTCGTGCGCTCCAAGCGATGAAAAAAATATCGGATTAGCATAATCATCACAATACAACTAATTAGATAAACCCAGCATTCTCATGATTCTATCCATAATCAAGCTTAGTTGAGAAGTTCTTCCTCAAGTACCGTATTGCAATATGCGGTCAAATTATCTGATATGATTTACATTTCAATATCCTTTTTCCACCACCAGTCCTGGAAACAGTGGAAACCTTCATTACTTACTCCTTTATAAGACGTGAATTGGTATTTCACTACCAAGTTAGTTCTTTGATTTTATCAACTAGGTATATATTGGTTTACAAAAACAGCCAACCATTATTTATCTGAATCCACATTGCACGGACACTCACCCAAGTCACACATATATTGGGATAATATCCGTGCAATATTATGCGAATAGCGGCAAAAATTGTGAACGTAATATTGTCGAGAAACAAAATGTGAACATTCGGTGATATTGGTACAATATTAGTTTGAAAATGGGTCATAAAATGTGAAATCAAAATTGACGAGAAATGAAAAGTGAACATTTGACAATATTGGTACAATATTAGTTAGAAATAATGTTGCTATGTTCTCGTCTCTTGAGACTATTGGTAGAATAGTTTTATACCAATATTGGCAAGACATAAAATGTGAACATTCAGCAATATTGGCCTCGTCGTGGGGAAACCGCCTTGTTGATCACGGTTAACCCCTACGCCAGGTAAATATGCTTTACAATCGTCTCGAGCCAATATTTATATTCTCTCGTCGGACCGGCACTGGTAGTACGTTGCCAATAATTTATAGCGCCATCTATCGACACAGGTTTGAGAGTGATATTAAGAATATATTTATCTTCAAAACAATTTGTTACCAATGTGCAATTGAACTCGGCAATACAATATTGTTTTTCTCTTTCATGACCGATATAAAGAAAAATATTAGATGGTCGATATTGGTATTCATCTTTGATACAATTTGCATTCGATATCTTCCGCATGATATAGTTAAGACAAAATCATCAAAATGATATGTTTCAAATATTTTTGAAACAATATTAAACCAATGTGCTGTCGTTCTCAAATATACAATATTGCATTATCGCTTCAGAATCGACATTTACCCAAAGTTGAACAAATATACCACCAATATTATCATTCCAATATTGTATTTTCAATGTACTCTCATATTGGATCAATATTTTTTTACATTTACAATATATCTATATCGGCCGAATATAAAATCAGGATTCAGCCAATTGAATGTGCTACCTGGTCAAGTTCAGCGCAATTCGAATATGTCGCTCATTCACAGTGCCTTCCCGATGCGGTCGTTCAAATCCACAACTATTCGAGTCGTCGCTCATTCACAGTGCCCACGCGACACTAGCATACAAATCCACCGCTATTTCAGTCCATCGCTTATCCTCAGTGTTCGCCTCTGCTACCCGAACATTCACGAATAGTCAAATCAATATATATTTGGGAACGTCGCCCTTTCACAGTGTTAAACCAATATCTATTTGATAACGTCGTCCTTGCACAGTGTTAAATCAATATTTATTCGATAACGCCGCCCTCTCACAGTGTTAAATCAATATATATTTAAAAACGAAGCTCTTTCACAGTGTTAAATCAATATCTATTTGATAACGTCGTCCTTGCACAGTGTTAAATCAATATTTATTCTATAACGCCGCCCTCTCACAGTGCTAAATCAATATCTATTTAAAAACGGCGCTCTTTCACAGTGTTAAATCAACATCAATTCGAGAACGTCGCTCTTTCCCAGTATTAAATCAATATCTATTTGATAATGTCGCCCTTTCACAGTGTTAAATCAATATCAATTTGAGAACGTCGCCCTTTCACAGTGCCTCTCCGACAAGAACGATAAAATCAACCAATCAATCAAAGTGATATCGTCGCTCAATCTCAATGACAGAATTTTGGTCGTTCTTTGTTCATCACTTAACTCCACAACCAGTTGATATTTGAAATTCGATAGAGAACCACGATTCATGTATTCATGTTATATATACACTATACACTATCAATTGTTATCACTTTGTTTGGCCGAAAATACAACACCTACAAAATGATATTCGAATATCTGAACTTTTGTTTACTCTTGGATACCTACATAATCTCACTTATGTGTTATCGCATCCATTCTAAATTATAGCTGCAGTTACATACTTTAATTAGGGTGTTTTATTTTCATACAGGGTGTTTCATTTAAAAATATAGTTGGTCGCAAAAATCAAAGATTTCGTCGAAAAAAATATAAACAACAGGTGTTGTAATGAAAATAATGAATTTATAGTTTACATACATAGTGCTTTCGTAAAGTACTGAATTAATTAATTTTTAGTCAATGAGGAATTTTCTGCAATAGGTCGATTTTAATTTCCCATTAGACATATTTTATTGGGTAAAATCAAACAAACAGGGTGATCCACGTTTGAGTTATGACGTCCACGATATTTTTTCAAATAGAACATCCTAAATAAAAGTCAATTTTTGAAATCTCCATGGAAATTTGATTTCGAAAATATATTAGGTACACATTGGGTTTATATACAGTATACAGTAGTGGAACTGTTTTAACTCATTCATGGCACTCTAGATTGAAAATTGTAAATTGAAAATTTCAGGATGAAAAATTTCAAAAAGTGGCAAATGATGGGTCATTGTACTCACGATGTTTTTCTCTATCGAAATGAGTAAAAATATACCATTAGTCCTATTCAAAATTAGATGATATGGGTCATTTCCGGACAAATCGGAAGTGACAGAAAACAATTGAATACAAAAATGCTTGTCTTGGGAAAAAGTGAAGAAATATCAAGAAATCTTGTCGTGACGTTTTTCTTGACATATCACTCCTTATTGTCTTGACACTCTCGACTCAAGAAAATTTCAAGATCTTGGAATTTCTTGATTGACCGGTGACACCGTACATGGTGATTCCCCGACGAACTTTTCATTGCGTTGCGTGCCAGGGTTTCCATCTCGATTTTTATTTCATCAGTAGATATACTTTATTAGAAATTCAGTAGATTTCAGTAGATTTATTTCATGTTATACACTTTTCAGGACAATGAAATGTAAAAAATATGTATTTCACTGTGACGGGAAAAGATTTTGAAATTTTATCTATGTTGATAGGTAACAAAATGTCATTTTTCATAAAATTGAGTACTTTTTTACCAACATATCAAGCGCTTATACGCAATCGAATTTATTATCAGTGGCGCCAAAATAGTTATTTATGTATCAAGGGCGTAAAATAGGCTTTTATGGACCGCAGCGTGCAAGTACACGCCTAGGTCCATAAAAGCTAGTTATTACGCCCAAAATACATACAACATTTTATGCACGACCTGTATATATTTGATATCTCATGTAGGTATCTCTTCACCCCTCAAGCACAATGAAAATACATCACGGTTGCAGTGAGACTGTATTGTATCCATATCGCAAATACAATTAATCAAGAAGTATGGAATCAACGTTACCATGGCAACTCAGTCAATTTTTCGTAATAGGAATTAATAGGCCAGTAGCCATATTGACTGTTAATTTGTGTAATCATACATAATTCATTAGTGATTTCAAAATGAATTCTAATGATGAAGAAAGTGTGAATTGTACTCCACCAGAAATTAGTGAGGCAGCTGAGGAAGCAAAATCGAGTTTATTGCCAAGTAAATAAAAAAAAATATACGTCAAAGTATACGAAGAATTCGTAAGCTGGTGCGACAGAAATGATGTAAAAAATAAGAACTACACTGAAAGTGTGATTCTTGCCTGCAACAGTAGAAAACAACAAATCCAAATATATCCATAACTAACTGTTCTGATTGTATTATAAATGCTAAGTTATAAGTCGTTATTTATGTTAATTGATTCGTTTTATTATTGTTAATAAAGTTTTGGGTTTGATCATATAATTTTGCATTACAGAAATATAAAGAAAACTTTAATATTCAAATGAGCACTCCTGTATAATTCAGATCTATTTCCCCAATCATTTTGCATTAATTGAAACCATTGGAATCTAGATTTCTATCGATTCGACAGTGACATTAGCTTTACCACCAGCTCAATGACTTTATCGCCCGCCGGGCGGTAAAGTGCTACTTTACGCCCGGTCGGGCATAAATTTATGTACAGAGCATGTCCAAATGTCACCCAAGATATTATGAGTCTATGTGATTAACCAAAGATCGATATTAATAGGTGATTATAATAATGAATAAATTTTTTCCAATAGATTATGATTGTTCCAGTAGATCAGTAGATCTATATGGAAATCAGTAGATCTCCTGAAAGTTTAGTAGAACTGGCAACCCTGTCGCGTGCTAACATAACAATTTGGTGGCTCCCCGATTTTTTTCGTTTTCTGACAAAATGCAATGATGCCAGTTTGTGAAGTGGTGGTAAAAAGTATACATACATTACATTGATGTTATCTCTCATTTCATCATGAGTGATAAACGTATAAATGTACGTTCTAGCGTTTTCATTCTTGGTCAAGACATTTCAAGATTTCTTGTTTTCTCGACAAGAAATCTTGGTATTAACATAAAATTTCTTGTCTTGATCTTGTTTTGAGATCAAGACAAGTTCATGGCAAGTTCTTGAAATTTTCAAGAAGTTGGCGACCCCTAGTGCAGGTGAGTATAGGTAGTTTCAGCTTATAAGATGTCTTGATAAGTTTTCAGTTTTTTATTGAGGACCAAATATTAAGCAAACTGGGTTCTTCTCCAAATGACATCAAGAGTGGCGTTTCAATGACACTTAACAGGCAGAAAAGGTGTACTTTTACTGCATAGGCAGAAAAAGTTTGCTACTTTGCAACGTTCCAAGTGATTCAAATTACTTCAAATTGGTAATGAAAATTGACAATGACTTCGGGTGAACAAATAATAATGAATTATTTGGACTTGCGTGGAATTGAAAAGAATTTGGAAAAAAAGTTATATGTTTCACATGGCGGAAAAGGAGATGTAATGCCTTGGCTGGTTTTCTAGCCACGGCTACCCCCAGCCGCGGCATTAAATCTTGTACTTTTCTGCCTAGTAAAACAAATAACTATTTGTTTCTCGTTATCATTATTGGTACATTGGCATTCAAAGAAGAATAATCAAAATTTCAGATTAGATTTCTAATGAAAACCATGATTTTCGCTTGGTTGATAATAAGATGTCGATAATGAATCAACAGAGGACAGAAATAAACATAATAAACAAATAAAATGTTTTTCGGATATTGAGCTATCACAGTCAATAAATATAAATTGTAAACTTTGCAAAGAAACCAACAACAAATACTGGGTTCTCTCGATATTAGAACAATAAATTTAAAATGGAGTTCATTATTTAAATTTTTTTGGGATTTTCTCTTCACGTTTCTATAGAATAAAAATATGAATATTATTTGAATATACGTGTAGTAAGGACATATCAGATGATTTGCCCCAAAATTTGCGTTTGAAGAATTTTCTTATCAGAGAGCCTTAAAGAAAAATGCACTAGCTTGTCAGTGACAATTTGTATTGAAAAAAGTTTGGAGAAGAGAAATAAAAGTATATAGAAAAAATATCAAATTTTCGCTTATCTTTGGACGTTTTGGGACCGAATCTGCTCCCGGTTTCAACATAAAAAATGGTTATTTTGATAGCAAAGTCGTATCTGATAGGAAAATTCTTTAAACGCACTCGCAGTGACATTTTGTGGCAAATCATTTGATTTGTCCTCACCACATGTATATTGAAATAATATTCATATTTTTTATATTTTATAGAAACGAGGAGAGAAAATCCCAAAAAATTTGGAATAATGAATGTTCCACCTCATCGATTAACCTACATACAGTATTTAAAATGAAGTGTTCAGGAGAAATCCTGAAATTTATGCAGATATAAATACGTCACATTTAGCATTAGTAGCTGTAATTTGTGTCATTGAGTCACTTCTTGTTTGTCGTAAACATTCAATTTTTTAAAAGAACACCTTGTATTTTTAAAATTTTTCAAATTAAGCAGATCGTCCTACATCAGCCGGAGTTGAGTTGGAAATTGCAGAAGAAGAATTCAAATTCAATTTTTTCAACGGTTAGGTGGATTTGACTGCTATTGAGTATTTCAGTTTCAATTCATTTTTTGAGGAAACACTCGAATTTAACTATTTCATTACTATCTTGCTTTTATAGAATATGCTCTTGAATTCGCAACAAATGATTTCTCTGAAATATAAAAAAAAAATACTTACATTCTCATTTTTCAAACATTTTTTTCAAAACAAGGTATCACCTTGGATTTTTCTCTTAAGTGTCTTGGAGGGAAATTTTGAGCGCAGTGTGATTTTGGGGTTATGTGCTACATTTAGTACCTATTATACCATATACATATAATATCATTGGTCAGCAATAATGTGACATACACCTACATATCGATTAGAATTAATCAATCAATCACATGATGTCGTTCGATGCAACAACCTCTAGCATACTTGTATACGTATGACCATGTATGACGAATAAATAGCTAGTGACCGTATACAGTGTGTATGATCAATCCACCCCAATTCGACGACATTACAGTTAATCCTCTGATTTGTTCACACTACTACGAGTATAGGTATTGAAATAATACTAATATTTTCATTTATTGAGACGAGCAAAATAAAAATCCCAAATAATCTGAAAAAATCAATCTACTGACAGAATGAAATACACTGAAATTAAAATTCCAATCCAATTTTTATATTTACCATTCTTCCGTACCATCAAAAACAAAAAAAGGGGTTGAATTTCAAGAGACACACCCTGTAAAGTGAACATCCTCTACTTATATGATTTGCTTTTTATATGATATGATATTATGTGCATATACACATTTTTATCTGAAGGAGAATGCAAATTGTCAATTACGGAAGATTTTGTTATCAAATTCTTATCATGTGTGTTCAACAGATATAATTCAATATTCGTCGTGGCATATAGTAGTAGTAGTAG